AACCAGTCAGCATCTGAAAGACTAGACAGACCGTTGTCACTCTGAAATTGGTTTGGAAATCTCACTCACTCCTCAGTATAGAGAACGAATTCGAGTTTCAACACAAATGTGGAGCCAACCAGTTCTTCTATTCGGGTTGGAAGCTTGGCGTAATCGACACAAGGAGCATTTTCACCAGGCAGCTGCAGACAATTATCAACGGCTGCCACCTTCACTGGCTGCACACTGAAGATGAGATGACCAGCCTGATAGATCTGCCTACATAAACTCCTGGAACAAACTAATCGAAAACCTATTGCTCAACAAATATTTCGTATTAAGTGGAGATGGATCGGACACATACTAAGGAGGCTGTCAAATGATACTGTGATCAATGCAGGTCATCGCTCTAGTGTGTCCGTTGGTGACATGAAGGAGACAGTGCAAGTAGGAGATTAGAGGTAATGTGCAGTTCTGAGGTCAACTAAAGAGAAGCACAGAGATGAGGACAAAGTGGACGTGTTCAGTTGAGGCCCTGTATTCCACTAGGAACCCAAGTGAACAATAGTAATAACGTAATAATGCGAGATAGCAGTGATCGAAAACTCACATGAAAACTATTCCGCTAACGCAGGATAAAACTACTCAACATTTGTGAAACGTACACTGTAGGTGATTCACAATATTGTGACAACATCACTCATGCCAGCCTCGATTTGCACATCATAGTTATTTAGTCTGATTCCCATTGTAATATTCACAGACTCACTTGAGTGGGCATATATGGAAATCGCAAGGTTGCAGTGTTGACACCTGACAGATAAATAAATATTTCAAATGATGAAGATGTGTGTGTGTTCATGACTCATATGTGATGTCAGTTGTATCAGTACAACTTGTTGTTGATAACTGCACGAAATATTCCATTCACAGATTGAATACAGTGAGTGGAATAGAGAGACGGTTACAATATGATAGGAGAGTATCAAGGAGATCAGATATGACGAAATAGCTCTTGTGACTGCATGTAGTGGGACATTCATGTACATCAGTGAGTGTCAGATATCAAACCCCATCCACTAGTAAGCGACACTAATTCCAGTGAGGTAACATTCCATCCCACCAAGCACTTTATACGCTGAATTTCAATGAAATGCAGAATTCATTATGAATCTCATGGGCAAGCACAGTTTGTAGTGTGCTGGCAGATATTACTGTTTGAAGTGTGCAAGGAATCTGTGAATCATGAAATATGACGAGATAGACGAAGAAAAGCATTCGACAAAGTTGTATCGGCTGAAGTTGCCACACTTCACAATGAGGAGGTGAGCTGAATGTTTAGAAATGGAGTGAAGTGAATAGAAACAGCAGACATTAGGAGAAAGAGGAGTAATTCGATGAATCTGTGAATATGGGATTTCAAAATGAATGGCTACAATTAGCGGAAAGGCTCTAAGACTTGTATCTCTTGTCTCACATATGTGAGGCAGTTGTGTGAATTCTCAGTAATCGGTACATAACACAGGTATTCGAGTTCACCTCATCCAGTTGTGCAGTCAGACACTTCAGAATGAAAGTCATAGAAACATGATTCGCCTTGAATCGCAGATCCTGAGAGAGGCGGTGGGAAGTGACTGTAGCATCTCTACCAGTCATAACTACTGACCAGATTCAATCAACTTAATCAAACATGTAACATGGCTGTTGTCGTTTTTCAGAACCGTTGGGAAGTATGCTTAGATGACTGGGATATTCAGCACCAAGCTGATTTTTGCATTATCACATGAGGTGTTTTCTTGGGGCCACCGTATTTTCGTCTTCATAATTCTCACGGTTTGTGTATGCTATCAATCCATATTGTGATACAGATTAAACCACATAAATGCGTATTATACCAATCATGCTAGTTGGTTATTATGATGACTATTCATTGGTTAATCAACCCGTGAAAGAGCAGTACATATCCATTTCATTGCATTCCAGTCCATTCCACTCTCTGTTGACAACTCCAAATAGATTCACGACAGCCGACAAATTTAATTTCCCACTCACATGAACTTCTCCGTACCACCCTCATTCCACAACAAATCCGTTGCTTCTCATTTCGTTCGCTTGACGGACTCACTGGTGTCTAATATTATTTGAGTGTATGCTCAGTTGATGTCAAATCTATATTATGTTTCTGTGCGTTCGATAGTCAGTGCTATCTTCACTGGATTTCTGCTTGTCATTCGATCTTCATTGTCGTGAGTGTGAAGATGGCGGTTTATGAAAATCTCCGAAAGCGCTTTCGGATTGCTTCTGGTGATCTTCACTCTACCTGCGTCGCAGCAAGTATGTTTAACAATATAGGCCGAGGTGAAGAGTGAAATGCAGTTGTGTAATCTCGGAGGGTAAACTGAACACATTTGGCACGTCTGTATAAATTAGAGACAGTATTATAAAGTTAGACGACAGTGGCATTCAAGGTGCAAATTATGTGTTTATAATCAAATTCTTTGTGTAAAAATTATATAAACACAATAACCTGCACAAACCACTGTTGTTCTTGCTTAATTCAAATTCATCAAGGGGAATAAATGCATGAAGTTTCTGGAAAATCGCCTCCCTGCAGAATCTTTCAAATCAGATATATATGTCATTGTGAAACGAAAAATGGATATCTGGTGAAGACTCTGTAAACCAGGAGAACTTATGACAGTCACAGACATAAACCAGCAACGTAGTTTAATGAAAAGCTAATATTTTCATGTCTATACATGAAGGGATTCTATTCCTGACTCCAGCCACCGGAATGAATAGGACATTCTACTCTGTACATCTCTTTCTATCCTTCAGAAATCGTACAATGGTACACCCGAAACTGTTAGAGGTTTTCCCTACTGTCAGATTCTCTTCATACACATACCATTTCAAGTTTTATAAGGCATTATATTAGGTAGCTTCATCTACGGCTTGGAAAACATTTACCAACCTATTTCACAAATCCTGAAGTTGAATGCATGAAAATTTCAGTGCTGTGACACACATACACAAACACACAGATTCTAATAAAATATTTAGGGTTATATACCACACTCCTAAATGACTATCAAGAAGTGATCGCCTACATTTTACATATATCTGTCGTGATAAAGTCGACTAAACAAGAAGTTTGTCTTCAGAGAAAAAAGTTTCAGACGTTATTCCTACACTAGCAGAAAATGGATTCAAAAATAGTACAGCCTTTATTAGTATTACTCTTCCTCATGTATTTTCCTTCACTTTCATTCCTTTCCTCTTCTTCCAAACAGTTTCCGTCACATCACTTCATCATCTATACTATTCACTCTAGGATTCTTCAAACGGTACTGAAATGTTAAGTAGAGACACCGAAAAATCAGTTCAATATTCTGTTTGCGATATCAGTTTTTTCCTTTTTGCATGACTACGCATCAGTTATTTTGCATTCTACTACTGCACTCGTGACCACTCGCCTCAGTCTAACTATCGTCTGATAAGAGTGCACGGTCTTTGTACCCCGTAATAGCCTTTCAATTTCCCTTCCCCATATTGTATGCAACTATCATCAGTAATCCTCATTGTCTTCAATTTCATACTATTCGATTCCTAAACTAGCCACTACGAGGCTTAGAAAAGTGGGCAGTGTGGGCGTGAGCTTAGGAACCCCTACTCATTTAAACAAAACCACACTTAACAGAGCCTCTAAAATCACAATCAAATGCTTCTGCTTCTCTGTTATCCAACAGATCCAGGAAAAACTTCACTTCGACTCCATTTTCATTTTAGAATAATGGAAAAATTGATTTTACTTAAACTAAACTTTCATTGAAGGATTCTAACAGCCATAAACAATTTGGCTATGAACATGATAGGTGGATGTTAGTTACCAATATCGTCTAACATCATAATACTGTTTCCAATTTAGACAAAGGTGACAAATATGTTCACTGTGCCTTCCCAGAAGACACATTTCTATCTGACGATATATCTAGGCCTATTTTACTTAACAAACGTGTTGTGACACAAGTAGGGTGTTCGACTAATAAGTGGTTCCATTTCCACTTTTCTGATAGGAAGCGGGACACTGTTTACAATCGGAAGTCCTCCACTGCTTCACTTACTATAGTCAGTGTTTCTCAAGGAACTGTTTCTGTTTTCTTCCTTCTTGCATCACGTTTCCCATTGTGATGAACGCAATTTCGTTAAGTTTGCCATTGATCTAACAGCTTTCATGTTAGTTACTTCTCATTAGGATTTCATCAAAATTATCAACTAATTATTTGAAATCCTTCTCATCACATGATCTCAATCTAAATGCCTCAAATATCAACTTGTTCACTTCACTTTCACACACAAGCTCGACCAACATGAACTCGCTCGCTTCCATGATTCCTGAATTACAGATGATATTGAATTTGAAACGAAGTCGAGTGTTCAATTTCTCGGAGTGTATATTTCCTATCATCTTCCCTGGTCTTCCCACATGATTCTAGCTTCCAGAAAGATATGTCGCTTAGCACTCCACATAAGGACGTTAATGCCATCTAGGATCACTCAGTCTCTACTTCTTATGTTTACTGATTATTGCAATCTGACTGTTCTCCTTCACTCACCCCGCCACCACCTCCTTAATCCTTCGTCGAGTATTTCAGAAAGACTTCGTTATAATGAGAAAGGTAATAGAAACTGTTGATGGGGCGAGTGGAGTGTCGCTAAATCAACCTGTTAAGACTGTTATAGACAGACACATGAAGTCATGCAAGAAACTGATGAATACTATCTTGTCGGCCTCTGATTATTCTCTCTATTGACAACTCTCATCTTCACCCAAGTTGTCTATCTACTACAGCCCGAAAATTCCATATCTGTAGCAAAAATAACCGTGCGCAATAAAGTCATTTTTATTACTATTCAAAAATTACATAAGGTCAATTGATTTTTGTGTGAAAGGAATTTCAATCAATCACTAACATCCTCAGATTGAATTCCATCCTGACGAGAAGAACCGACGCAATGAATTATTCGATGCGTTTGTAAAAGCGTTTGAGCACTGCAAAACAAGAATTGCAAAGAGAAAGAAGATGGCAGTTAGGCATAAGTGTAAATGAAGATATGATAACCTACAAATTGAAACGGCAACTCCAATTTTGTTTCCCAATCCATCCTCTTCGAAATATGCACACACTTTATCATGTATCTTCTGACATATTTTCCCAGCTGTTTGTGTGACCTCTAACCATGGATCTGTCTAGATGAAGTGAGGTTGTGTATATCATTGGAGGATGTATGTCACTTACCACTGATGTGTCCCTCTTGAGAAGTGACTTGTGATTGTGTGAATACCTGTGAAATTAGAGGCATAGAAATAAGAGAATAATGAAAATGTTCAACTCTTGAGAAAAGAATTTCAAAGGCGTTATAATTATCGAGACCTGGAATGTTAATGTAGACAAAATCACTATTCCACAGACCGTGGGTGGTGAGAAGGCGAACATATCGTGGACTCAAGAAATGACCTAACAGAGTTTGCATTTCACCGGTGTTTCGTGTCTCATTTTGCACAGGGTTTAATGTTTACTAGCATCATTCAGCATGTTTGCAGAAGAGATAGTGAAGACATGACATCTAGGGAACATAAAGAAGATGCAAGTGATGAAACAGACCAATCAATAACAAGAAACATTAACTGCCACCAAGAGGAAAAACTTACATGCAGTTGCCCCTTTCACCTACCCTGAAAATATCGTTTTAACAACAAGCAGGAGGCATGGATGAGGACGTTGAAGTCAGCGATGTCTGACTGGGAGGCATGATAGGCATCTGTAAATTTGGAATAAGTGTGGAAATCTACAGCACTTATCTAGAGCAAGGAACAATATCCAAATTTCAACCTTTAGATTAATTTGCTGCTTGTCTGTGGTTCAGAGACCCTGTGGACGACTCACCAAAACAATTTACAAAATTATTTGGAAGCGTTTCATCAAGAACTTCTTTCTCTGACATGAATCAGACTATTCGATGATCGGTCAAGAACGATAAGCAACCAGGAACTCTGTCGAACAGTGAACAAACCCGAAAGATGGATTGGACATGAATGAAGGAGACAGGTGAATACCATCACACGCCAGGAAGTTTGTCGGTTGGAACCTCATAGAAAATCAAGCGATGTTTGTGGATCGCAGCGTGACACGGAGACGACCATTTGAGGGGAAACAAAAGTTGTGGTCTGTCGCGGAGCCATGTGGAAGTGACAGCAGTGGATGGAATGTAGGTATGCTGACGGAGCCGAATGTTTCATGCGTAACTCAAAGAATGAACAGTCATAATAATCATTATGATAATAATAAAGTAGTAAGGATATAACTTACACAGTTTGGACGAAGATCAAACAGATCACGAGTGAAACAATCACGACTGATTTCATTTTGCTCTGATTAATCTCAGCACAAACTACACAAACCAGTATTCACCTTTTATACATTTTTCCAGCCCGTAACTTTCATGCAACGCCTGCGTTCATTTGTTTATTTCAGTGTCAGTTGCTCAGAAAATTTCACTTCGTCTGTACATCATTTTGTGTTATTGTTTATCCAATCTTCTTGTAGAAATCAAACGTATTACTAAGTAGTCTGATTATTATTATTATTGTTCACATTTGATTGGATAAAGGGTGTCATTCTGGCACATTGTGTTAGACTGGTGAGAAGTTGACATTCATGCACACTCTACTAACTCGCAAAGAGAGCATCGTTTGCATGTGAAGACAACATTTTGAACATGATCTTGTGGTACCTACATTATTTTTAAAACTACCAATTCTACTACGAACACAGTCTCCACTATTGTGCTATAATGAAACATTGTAGAAACAAGAGATGACGAATTATATCTCTAACAATTTTACATTCTTGCTTGTCACACACACACTCGTCTCTACACAAAGTCACTTTTCACTGAGAAGTTTGCGAAAATTGATGTTCCACTGGAAGCGATGTGCAAATGCATCTTGAAAATATTCCACCAAGAATCTCAGAGATATTGTTATGAATGGCGGCGTTATTTGCATCAAATTTCAGGCAGGAACACTCACTGGAATGTCGGTCAATGTGATGCGATAATAAGAATATCAGCCTAGTTAGTGTATAACGTTACAAGGAATATATTTCTTTTCTCTCATTCCTGTTCTTTCCAACTAAAACATAAAACCTCAGACTTTGAGCTTCATAGTTTCAACAGCTCTTGTGGCCTTACGAGTTGAGGTTGCTAGTCACACGTCCAGACTTCCCACTTTCATGGGCTTACTACCGGCTAGGTCAGGTTTCAGACTGCACCGGTCGAGAATCGAACCTCGACCACCTATGTGCCAGCCATCAGAAACCGATCATTTGTCAGCTGTACTGAATGAAGCACCTGATAAGACATGCAATGCGCAGTTGCGAGAATATTTGTGCCTCCAGTTGTATGGCCTTAGAAAACAAGCGTGCTGATATCCTCTTCGTTTTAGAGTACTTGAGAGCATATATTTACCGAAACACCAAACTTGTAAACAGTCCTCATTAGCGATAATAATCATGTGATGTGTTTGACAAAGTGAAAGGATTTCAGTCAGAGTTCATATCTAGGAGACATAACATGGTTACTCTCCACTGTCTAATTAGTGCATTTTATGGTGTCCCATTCGAGGCGAATTGTGTTTCCGTGTTTCATGTGGTCATCTCACAGGTGCTTTTTCAATGAATAATTTTCCACTAATTTTGTTCCTGCTTCTTGGAAGGATATTCAAATTGTTCCTGTGCCTAAATCATCAAATGGATCAAGTTCCCAGTTTAAACCTATAACTATTACCTCACCATTTTTTAAAATAATGGAAAAATTGATTTTACTTAAACTTAAACTTCAATGAAGGCTTTAAACATCCATAAACAATTTGATTACAAACATATTACGTGTATTTTGGATGCCACTGTCGTCTAACATTATAATACTGTCTCTAATTTAGACAAACGTGCCAGATGTGTTCAGTGTGCATTCCGAGATTACACATCTGCATTTCACTCTGCACCTCGGCCTATTTTACTAAACACACTTGCTGCGAAAATGTAGGGTGCTTGACTGATAAGTGGCTCCATTTCTACTTTTCTGATAAGAAATGTACACTGTTTAAAACCAGAAGTTCTCCACTGCTTCGCTTAATGCAGTCAGTGTTCCTCAAGGAGCTGCTTCTCCTCCTACCTTGTTTTTCTTCCTTCTTGCATCAGTTGCCTCATTCTGATGAAGTTAAATTTGTTAATTATGTCGATGATCTGACAGCTTCTCAATCAAACTTTTCTAAAATGAACAAATCCTCCTTACAAATCAGTCAGTGGTCCTTCTCATCAAATGGTCTCAAACTAAATGCCTCAAATATCAGGTTGTTCATTTAATTCAATTTTAGATTTTCACGTCGATTGATTGGACCGAAGTGCTCGGTCTCAGGTCGACATGTAGGTTTCTTGTGCAGATGCTTCGACGATGTCTGAGCATGTGATTACAAGTTAACATCCCCAGACATCGTCGAAGCATCTGCACAAGTAGCTGAGATGTCATCCAATCAAACGATGGGAAAATCTAAAATTCAACTTGACCCGTTGCACAAGAGGTGGCCCTCATGGACCAAATGGTTTAGTTGATAACGCTTTGGCGTTTGAAACTGTGGACACTGGGTTCTAGGCTCGATGGGAACATCATCACTCACTGCGGAATGCAGGTACATCCAGGTGACGAGTCCCAAATAAGACTAAAAGATGACATTGAAGTTGAAACTAAGTCGAACGTTCAATATCTCGGGCTGTACATTTCCTGTCATCTTCACTGGTCTTCCCACATCATTCTAGCTTCCAGAAAGATATCTCGCTTAGCACTCCACGTAAGGACGTTAACACCATCTGGGATCACTCAGTCTCTACTTCTAATGTCTGCTAATTATTGCAATCTGCCTATTCTCCTTCACTCACCCCGCCGCCGCCGCCTTAATCCTTCCTCGGCTATTTCAGAAAGACTTCGTTATAATGAGAAGGTAATAAAAGCTGTAGGTAGAGCGAGTGGAATGTCGTAAATCAACATGTTAAACTGTTATAGATAGACACATGAAGTCATGCAAGAAACTAGCGAATATTATCTTGTCGGCCTCTGAGCATTCTCTCTATGCACAACTGTCTCCTTGCATCTATCTCACCAGGTTGAACTAGAAGCAAGTATAGAAACTGTAGGCTCGGTCGACTAGGTATGAAAAGTCTGCGATGCCTTATTTGGCATACTCGCATTTTAATTGATGAGACGAGTGTGAGCCAGCACATTAACATCTAATGGCGGGACTCAACGTAAACGGCCCTATGTTTTTCTATTCTTATACTGTTGTTAATATTTCCACTTAATTTAATTTCATATTCATATTTTTATAGATCACTATTATCATTGTAATTATGCTATTTGATTATCTCCGCCTGTAGTATGCAAAGAGAATTAGATTCTTCATCGTAAATGAAATATCGGAGAGCAGCCTATCAGTACCCTCTGTATCGTGTGCTTTCTCATGAGATCAATAGTCTATTCTGCATTTCACTGGAATTCAGTGTATAAAATGCCTAACTCCAATGAATAAATATATTCCTGTTGGTCTTAATTTCGCTTGATAGAAGAAAAGATTTCGTATCTCAAAATTATTCCTATGAACAGTTTCCAGAAATGTTGCATGATATCTGATCTTCTAGATATCTTTCCAACCACATGATAAGTGTCTTTCAATCGCACATGCTGATTATGGTCAGTGGATTGAATATTACGTGTAAAAATTAACACTCAGTGTTTTACAACAGATGGGGATGGAATCTACAGATAACAGTGCATTAACATTTCCAGTCGTTAACACGTGTCTACCGTTTCAAATATATATTTCATAGTAATCTGTCACTATGATATATTCTGAGAATTCCACGAATACGCATGTTCATGGGTATATCTTTGAGCTATGAAACGGCATGAAGCTTCTAGTCTAAGCTATATAAAATAAGATTCAAATAAGTAGTTTCATCATACTACAGTGAAGCATCTACACTTCATGTTTACCAAATGTTAGGTATGTTAATGCTCCTCTACCAGTGGAATAGTTTTAATGTGAGGATTCGACAATTACTCACTAACAAGGCGTTTCACCGCTTGATTTGGATCTCATATCAGCAAAAACAAAATCTCCACCTGAACTTAACTCCAAGTCACCTTTTGTTAGGTTTCTATTTTTATTCGCATTCTGCACTCTAATATATTTTCATCGAAATATCGGTGGCACAACGGTTAGGACGCTCGCCGACCATACACACAGTTTGGGTTTCGATCACAGGCCGACGCACACCTGATATCCATGGTCGACCTGCTAAATTTGTGCTACCGACATCACATGCTGAAAATTCCATAGTTGTATCAAAAATACTGTGTGGAGTCGAGCTATAATAAAATTTAATTAATTAATTACTCGATAACAATCCAGGTAATTTCATCTCAGACCTATTCGACCAAACGAATTTTATCAATTTTATGCATTTGTCAGATTTCCAGATTTTACCTGATTTGTATTTGTGTTGACTTGAGTAAGTGTGTCTGTTTGTGTGTGTGGGAATGGGTCTTATTAGTTTAATCCTCGTCGGCATATTTTTCGCAATACAAATATCAAGTTCATATGTTTGTATTTTCTACACAGTGTTTTAAATTACCAACAATAGTTCATAATGTCAGTCACGTATTATTTTTTTTCCAATGTAAACATCAAACTATTTATTTATTTACTTTATTGTTTTTTCCTTCGATTGTTTATTTATTTGTCTGTCTGTGCATGAGAAAATGTTTACATATTTTCGCATTCCTCTTCGCATTGTGTAATTGACTTCCATTTGAAGTTGAATGGCTAATTCATAACTGACCATCGACATTGTGGAGAATTTAATTATCTCAAAATATTAGGCACAGTTGTTGAGACAAATTTCAAGCTGGCTATCCACAGACGTTTCTTTGATTCGATCTTTTTCTCGAGCATTGTGATGATGTTCAGCTTTCACCCCTTCTCATTCACTTTGTGATTTATTCCCCATAATGAATTTGAATAAAGCAAGAAGAACTGTGGCTGTTTTTGCAGAGTAATACGGTACCATCTTTGCCTATTTCGTTGGCTTCTCATCAGCACAGCTACTTACAGCCTAAATAAACTATGAGGTTTATGTATCGGAAAGGATTCAACATACTTGTAAATCTTTCATGATGTCAGTTGACAGAAGGTTCAGCAATTAGTGAACAGTGCTCAGATAATTGCGCTTATACAGTTTTTACACAGGCAGTTCAAGATTAAACAAAGTAAATGTATGCATACAACGGTAAGGGAGTTACGTAATGAAGATGAGATATGCGTAAGATGCCGAGTGACTTATAAATTAGTTAACAATGTACTGAGTTCAACTCAAA